CATCTTGTGAAAAAATCATCTTGCGAGGTTCCCTATGCATCGGTCTCAAAAAAAAAGTCTTGCAAAGCATTGGTTTTTAAAAAAAGTCTTGTGAAGCACTGTCATAGGAAAAAAAAGTCTTGTGAGGCGGGTGCAGGGCGGCTCCCTGTGGCGGGGACAGGGTAAAGGGTCCGGATGGCTTCCAGGCAAAGTCCTTGTAGCCATCCGGACCCCCCGCCGCCGCCGCTTGAAGCCGCCTCGCGCCTGGTTTCCCATCCATGCTCTGACTCCCGGGAGTCTGAGCATGGCTGGGATAGGCGGCGCGGGGCAGCTCCAAGCGGCAGTGGCAGCAGGATAGGGGGGTCGGATGGCTTCCAGTGCTTCGCCTGGAAGCCATCCGGACACCCCTACCCTGCCGCCGCCGCCGCTGAGAGCCTTCCAAGCTCTCAAAGGGCTTTCTCCAATGTCGGAGGGAAAGCCCTTTGAGAGCTTGGAAGGCAAATGTCGGCGGTGGCTTCGGGGTCCTTCCAAAGCCACTGCCGACCGACCACCAACATTTTCCCCCAGCTGAGCGGCAGGGCTTTGAAGCTTCCGCTCAGCTGGAGGAAAATGAGGCTATGGGGGAAAATCGCAAAGTGTTTTTTCCCCACAGCCAACATCGCAATGCGATCGCAAAAGTGGGGCACCCGTTAAGCGAGGCACCACTGTATTTGTACATTGAAACTTGTTATTGTGCCTTTTGGTTTAAGGAGGGAGGGGCTTAAATCTGAGTTACATTCAGTGTGCCGGGGGGGCGGGGAATACAAATTGTAGTTGTCAACGGGGTGAAATCTCCTTGGAGAATAGGACTTTTGTGATTATCAGTCCAATGACATGCATGCTTGCTTTTAAAACAAGGCCCTATTATTCCACCAGAATTTCTAAAAAATAAGTGCAAATTATTTTCCAGACTGGGATTGGTAGCTAGGGAAAACGCCTTCTTATAACCCTTGGATTTCTGCCAGAGAAACTTGTAGTCCAGAATTGTTATTTCAACAGAAATGCAATTTTAAGACTCTGTAATGGATATATAAAATGTTTTGGTTTGGTATTTCACGGTTCAGCAATGTTATGTGGGAGTCTTTGGTGGTGTCCTCCTTAATAGCTTAGAATTGCCTCTATCTGTCAGTGTTGTGATGTACATTTAGACAGACAAAATAAAAGGACTCGGGGGTTGGATGTGGAACAATGTGTTTTGTGCTTGGCTGCTAGGAGTGGGAACACCTTTCTTCATGGATTGTGTTTGCATCAATGGACGATCAGTGGAGAAAAATGTTTTTATGTACTTTTAGGTCCATTTTAGAAGTATATAGCAGGATTGCCAAGAAGTGGAAGAAATAGGACTGCTTTTATAATGAGAATATCATGTTAGAATTTTTTTTAAGCTTGAAGGATCATAAACCTGGCAAAGATGTGTCTACCATATCCTAGTCACTTTTGATATCTCCTACTTTTTTCTCTTTCCTAATTTTGTTTTCTTACAGTTTGGCTAATCAAAAAGGAGTTCTTTGTATTATAGCTTTCATTTCTTGCTACTTGTCTTTTTGCTGCTCCATTTTTGAATCAAGTACTGTACTAGCTAGAGTTGACTATTATAGCAAAAGCTCCTTCACTGGAATTAATCCATATATAAAATCATATATACAAAGGGAAATATCACCATATGGGGACAATTCCCGTTCATTATTTCATGGTGAATATTTGTTGCGAGTACACTGTAGTAGAGGCGAATTACTGAGCAAATATTATCTGAACAGGAGTTCACATATCTTCAAAAGAAAAAAATCTCAATTTGTTAGCACTTTCCAGAAGAATAAATATGCTGAGTCTATTGCAAGTAAAATAATGAACAGTCCAACTTGCACCTTACAAACTTATTGTGTAAGCAGACCCTTTTCATCAGATGCTAGGAATCTAACCCTCTCCATCATTTATTTATTTATTTATTTATTTGCTTGTTTGTTTGTTTTATATGCTGCTCCATTAGCACACATACTACTCTGGGCAGTTTACAAGTTAGAATTTAAAATCACTAGTTGTGCTGGCCAGGATTTCTAGGAACTGTAGTCCAAGAACACCTGGGGACCCAGAATTTGAAACCACTGCAATAGAGCATTGCTGGCAAATGATAATATGTATTCCACTGAAAAATAAACAGGCTGAATATCAGTCATTGTGCATGGTGTTGTTAGATTCTGCCAGAACACATATGGAACAGATGTGGCTTCAGGGATTGCCCATAGTGTCTTCTGTATCTCTCTTATGGTAGTCTGTTTCTCGTTAATGGGTGTTTCAGACTACAAGGGGTGGCTCTCTGCAAGCAAGTAGAGCCCTACAATCCACAACCTGTGGAAGAAGATCGTCATTGTCTCAGACAGGCTTTAAATCACTGATGGTGTAATGATTGTTTTAACTGAAACTGCAAGTGAAGATGGTGTTCTCTCCTATTTTCCTTTCTGGGTCTGTCTTGTCATATATTGTTCCTGGGTACCAATCTAACTATGTTTATTTTTTCCACTTCAGTGGATGGGCAAAATAGATTGAGAAGTACCTGATTGAAATCCTTAATCTGTGAGACTTTCCTTATGCTGTACTGTATATAAATCAGTTCTAGGTCAGTGGCTTTTACCATATTTTATGGAACCTTGGAGCTCCTTTGGAACTTAGCAGGATTCTTCAGGCAGAAAATAAAATAATGGCAAACGTGTTACCACTCTTCTTCTGAAATCTGGGGTTCCATGAATAATGCTGGGCTTTTCACAACTTTTGTTGCTGGTTCATGTAATGGCAGTAGGTCTGCCCCAGATACAATTTGGAACACAGCCTAATGTGTGCCACAGAATCATCTGTTGTGTGCAGGTCTTTTGTTGTCAGGTATGCAGTGGTTCCTGAACAGATTCATTAATACAGAAAGCATTCTTAAAGCACTGGAAGTTTGAAATCTCCTGATCTTAATGTTTAGAAAGTCAGGTATTTACTAAGACCTCTGGATTTTTTTTGTCTGAGAAATATAAAGGAAGAAGAGTCTGCTGTAGATATGCGAGCGGATTGTTTCATTCCTCAACTTCTGTTCTCCAAGAATATCTGGAAGCTTTTTCAGTATGCTTTTGTTATAATCCAGAAAGATAAATACCACCAGATAGGCAGAGGAATCCTTAAGACATTGAAGGATAAAAGAAAGTTCTGTTAAAATGCACATGGTGAACAAAACATCTGATATGAGTTCGGTGGCTCCCATGTTCAATATATTTTAATCATTCTTGATTTTGACTTATAACCCATTGATATATATATATATCAAAGAGCAGAGTTTATTTATCAACTATAAGTCATTAAAATACGTTAAAATAAAATAAAAGCAGCAGGTGAGATAATTAATTAAAAAGCAAATACAATGAGACGTAAATAGGGAAAGATGAGGGCCAAAAATAATACCCAAGTAATGAAAAGCTGACACTTGCTCGATTGGGAAGTCCCCAAGCCTCCAGGTATGTTTTCTGCGGTGGTTCCCAAAGGTCATCACTTTGGTTTTTGCGTGATTTATTGTTAGTTTTTCATGGCTGCAGTAGGTACTTAATTTGGCCAGTAGTCTGCGTAGCCCAACCGGGGTGAGTGAAAAAAGAGCAATGTCATCGGCATATAATAATATTGGAAGTTTTATGTCCCCAATTGTCGGCGGAAAGAAATCGAGACCTTGGAGCTCAGGTACAATGTTGTTTATGTAAAAGTTGAAAAGAAACGGAGCCAGTAAGCAACCTTGGCGGACCCCCTTTTCGGTAGTAATTTCCTCTGAAAGCATACCATGTGGGCCGAGTCTAACTCTGAGATTGGTGTTTGTGTGAAGCTTTATAAGAAGAAGGAGGAGTCTTTTGTCAATATTGGTTTCTGCAAGTTTCCGCCATAGACGGGATCTATTTATTGTATCAAAGGCCGAGGATAGGTCGACAAAGGCAGCGTACAATTTTTTCCTCCCCGCCTGGGTGTATTTACGGACCAAATGGTGGATAACAAAGGAATGATCCAGCGTTGATTTCCCTTTTTGAAAGCCAGCCTGTTCTTTAGCGATAATAGAATTCTCTGATGCCCATTTCTCCAGCTTAAGGAGCAGGAACTTCGTGTATAGTTTGGAAACCACACAAAGAAGACTTATGGGACGGTAGTTTTTTGGGATTGATATATATAAGAGACTGAATGACTTGTTTTCATTCACAGGAGGTATTATTATTTAGAACAATGTTGATGTTTTATCACAAACTCGGGAGCTTAAACACAGCTAGCAGAATGACAGTTTCTGTATCTGTGCAATTGTCAGATTATGTTATCTACTGCATTAGATCTTGGTTCTGTTCTTCACTAAGGTGGGTGATTATTACAGAAGTAAGCGGCATATCAATCTTCTCTTTCACAGAACAAGTCCTGAATGAATAGTACTACAGATATCTTTGAAAAATTGGTATTTCACAAATTTCCTGTTAGTAAACATTTGCAATTTCATGATTTCTGAGGCACATTGTCCTTGTTGATGATATGAAATTCAAAAATTATTTTTCTCTAATGCATCAGTCAAATAAAACTTTCACATATTACATGCACTTTCACATATTACAATCCACCATAATCACTGTTCAGTGATTATGGTGGATTGTCAGGTTTTCCATGCAGATAGTGTGGGATATTCAGTGATGGGGCAGTCAGTACATAACAGTGAGATGTTAAAAGGAGTGGCTTCCATGTGGAATCTCTTTGAAGTATCTGTCCTTGTTTTTGTAATGAACAGATTGGCTTTAAAGTATGCTTTTTAAATAAAATGTTTCTGAAGATGAAAAGATGGGGTTTTTTACACATTACGTTGTACTTGCACTTCAAATTACTGAGTGGAGTGTTACAATCAGTGTGTATACATCCAGTACAGTATTGATGAGTATTCTTGGTCACTCCTTCTCAAATAATATTCTCCATTTTGTCCTATGTTCTTTAAACAGGTTCTTCTTTGTGTAGCTATGAATTAAAGCCATCTGAATACACTACGGATTCAAGGGCTGATAAACTTTGCCCCAAGCTCCCAGTTCCAGAGAGGTAAACTGTCTTGCTTCATACCTTCTTGTGTCAAAGTTTACTTCTTTTTAGTATGAGATTAAATGATTTGGCAACAATATTGAAAGTTCTGCCTAGCAATATGGGATGTTTTCCATAGGAAGCCCTTCCAACTGGTGCACTTCTTTCTTTTTATTATTATTATATAAAATCCATCCATGTTGATTTAACATCGTGCCACCTGAGTACAGCTTATATTCATTTGTTAAAACAACTACCATACACATTACGCTCCTAATCTATGCAACGTCCTTCTAACCATTGATAGAACAAGTCCCATGTTTGATAATATTTTGTATCTTCTTTTCCTTTGCTTTTCAGTGTTAGTCTATCCATTTCGGCGCAGTCCAGTATCTTTTCAATTATTTCTTGATTTGTAGGTGTTCCTTCCTTTTTTCCAGTACTGTGCATATATAATCTTTACGGCTGTTAAAATATGCAATATTAAATATACATTTTATTTATCAACACTTTCTGGTATTATACCTAACAGAAAGAGCTCTGGCCTAAAGTCTACATGCTTTTTAATTATTTTAACAAGCCATGTATGTATTTTGTTCCAAAAGTTTTTTGCTTTATCACAAATCCACCAGAGGTGATAATAGGTTCCAGTTTTTTATGACATTTCCAACATTTACCTGACCTATTAGAATACATCTTAGACAATCTGTCAGAAGATAAATGCCATCTATAAAACATTTTATATAAATTCTCTTTATAGGATGTTGTCATTGTCATCTTATAGTTTCTAGACCACAGCTCTTGCCATTTTTCAAAGTCAATATTGTATCCAAAATTTTGTGCCCATTGAATCATCCATTTTCCAGTTTAGAAGGAATTTATATATTTTCCTAATTAGTTTATCATCTGATGCTAACATTACTTGGTCAAAAGTTGTTTGTTCTTTATAAAAATCATACATTTTAAGTCCCTTTCATATCTTGATTGTATTTACATTACAGACCGCCACGAGGCATCTAATCCCTGGTCTATAAGATCTTGTTTGGTTTTAATCTCCTATCTATGTCTAAAATATCTGTATAAGTCAGAATTTTTCCAAAATTCAAAAGGTTGGGATGGACAAATGCTTCTATGGGTGAAACCCATTCTGGTATTTTTGTGTACATTTTCATTTTTATTTTTCCCATATTATATACAGGGAGCTTCTAATATAGTGGTTTTGAAAATACCTATGAGTTTTAGCTTTCTGATACCATAAAAACGCATGCCAACCCAACTGTAGATCATGTCCTTCTAAATACAGAAGTCTTTTGTTTTTCAGGGTAATCCATTCTTTCAGCCAGGTTAGAACAGATGATTGGTAATATAAGGTCCAGTCCGGTAAACCAAAGCCTCCATTTTCCTTGGATTCTTGAAGCATTTTAAATTTGATTCTGGCTTTCTTCCCTTGCCAAATATATTTTAATATAACTTTATTTAGTTCGTCAAAGTATTTTTTCTCTATTTTCACTGGCATGGTTTGAAACAAAAAAAAAGTAGCTTTGGCAAAATTTTGATTGTTGCAATTCTTCCTAATAGTGATAGTTGTAGGTTTTTCCATTTTTCTAGGTCTATTTTTATTTGGTTAAGTAGTTTCATATAATTATCTTGTTTTATAGTTACACATCTGGCAGTTAAGTATATTCCAAGGTACTTGACTTTTTTAACTATTTGTAAATCTGACATCTTTGAGAGTTGATTTTTTTGCTTGGCTGTTAAGTTTTTCACTATGACTTTAGTTTTTTCTTTATTGATCTTCAATCCCGCTACTTTTCCAAATTCATCAATTTTCTCCAGTAATCTCAATGTTGTTTCCAGTGGGTCTTCCAATATAAACACCAAATCGTCTGTAAATGCTTGTAGTTTATAGCTCTCCTCCTTTATTTTGGTACCTTTAATCTCTGGGTCATTCCTCACATTCCTATTTAATACTTCCAGAGTTAATGTAAATAGCAATGGAGATAGCGGACATCCTTGTCTTGTGCCTTTTTTTATATTAATATTATCCGTCAATTCACCATTTACAGTTACTTTAGCTATTTGTTCATTATAGATTGTCTCAACTGGTGCACTTCTTTCAAAGTTCCTGTTTCCCATTTCATGTCTCATATTAATAAACATGAATATCTGAAAATAGGCTAAAATGTATTACATTGATTTAGCTGCTAGCATTCAGCTTCAGACTCAGTTTGGCACTGTTAGATGCCAATGAGACGCAACTTCTGGAGGGGGGAAGATGTTTGATGCATGTGCATGATAATTATTTTGTTGTTTTTGTTGTTATTGCTGTTGTTAGTTGTGATGACTTTTCTTGTATTTCACTCAGTGACACCTGTTCAGCTGTTTTTTGTTTCTGCTGTAAAATTTTGTTCCTGAGTTTTACAAACTAGAATGTGGACAACTAGAAGCATGGTTTATCTGGGAATATCCTCCTTTATACCCATTGCTTAAGATTTATTATCTAGATGCAGTTAACACTTTGAGCTCTCTGGCTCTGATGTTTTCTCATAAACAAATTAAATGATTTATTGGTTTATTGAGCTTACCTCCTCAGCTTATTACCCCATAACTGCAGTGATAACTGCAAGAGCCTCGTGGCGCAGTGGTTAAAATGCTGTTAAAATGCAAATCCCAGGTAGCCGGCTCAAGGTTGACTCAGCCTTCCATCCTTCCGAGGTCGGTAAAATGAGTACCCAGCTTGCTGGGGGGGCAATGTGTAGCCTGTATAATTAAAATTGTAAACCGCCCGGAGAGTGCTTGTAGCGCTATGGGGCGGTATATAAGTCCAATAAATAAATAAATATAATAAATAAATATTCTGTGAGAAATGATATGTTTACTTAATCTGAACTTCAGAACAGTTCATTTCAAACTTGTGGCCAAAATTCTCTTGAATTACCCGCATATGCAAGTGCAATATACTGTATAGCTGTTGTGACCTGGAAAGAACAACTGTCAGGTGAATACACAATTGGCCACAGAATCATGCTCAGAGGGTGATGATTAATGGCTTCTTCTCATACTAGGAGGAGGTAACAAGTGGGATACCCCGGAGCTCAGTTCTAGGCCCAGTTCTATTCAATATTTTTTAATTAATGACCTGGATCAGGGGGTGCAGAGAATGCTAATCAGATTTGCAGATGACACAAAATTGGGTGAAATCGCTAACACCCTGGAAGACAGAAACAAAATTCAAAGTGATCTAGATAGGCTCAAGTACTGCACTGGAAACAACAGAATGAAATTCAAGAGGGATAAGTGCAAAGTACTGCACCTCAGAAAAAGAACCCAAATTCATAGTTACAAGACAGGGGATACCAGGCTCGGAAATACTACAAGCAAGAAGGATCTTGGAATTGTCGTAGATCACAAGCTGAATATGAGTCCACAGTATAGCAAATGCTATTTTAGGCTGCATTAACAGAAGTATAGTTTCCAAATCCTGCGACATGCTAGTTCCCCTCTATTCAGCACTGGTTAGGCCTCACCTTGAATACAGTGGTGCCCCGCATGACGACAATAATCCGTTCCGTTAAAATCGCTGTAAAGCGAAATTGTCATCATGCGAAAGTAAAAAACCCATTTGAATGCATTGAACACCAGTTAATGCGTTCCAATGGGGGAAATGCCTGCTCGTTTTGCGAAGATCCTCCATAGGGGAAGCCATTTTCGATTGCTGTCTTCCGGAAATAGGTCCGGAAAACAGCAGGGAGCCATTTTGAGAACCGCCGATCAGCTGTTTCTAATCATCATCCAGCGAAAAAACAATTCCCGAAGCAGGGAACTATTCAGCGTTAAGCGAAAAAACCCATAGGAATCATCGTTTCGCGATCGCTATAGCAATAGCAAAAAACTCATCATTAACCGATTTCGTCATGAAGTGGGGTCATCGTCAAGCTGGACACCAGTGTACTGTATCCAGTTCTGGACACTGCATTTCAAGAAGGATGCTGACAGCGAAAAAACAATTCCCGAAGCAGGGAACTATTCAGCGTTAAGCGAAAAAACCCATAGGAATCATCGTTTCGCGATCGCTATAGCAATAGCAAAAAACTCATCATTAACCGATTTCGTCATGAAGTGGGGTCATCGTCAAGCTGGACACCAGTGTACTGTATCCAGTTCTGGACACTGCATTTCAAGAAGGATGCTGACAAATTGAAACATGTTCAGAGGAGGGCACAAGGATTATCAGGGGCTAAAAATCAAGCCTTATGAGAAAGACTGAAAGAACTGGACATGTTTTGCCTTGAAAATAGAAGACTGAGGGGAGATGTGATAGCACTTTTCAAATATTTGAAAGGCTGTCATACAGAGGAGGGGTAGGATGTGTTCTCGATCATCCCAGAGTGCAGGACACAGCAATGGGCTCAAATTACATGTAGAAAAACTTGAGTATCAGGAAAAACTTCCTAACTATTATGGCAGTGGAACCAATTATCTTGAGAGTGCTCCAACACTGGAGTTATTCAAGAGAAATTTAGACAACCATCTGGCAGATATCCTTTGATTTGTATTCCTGAATTGATCAGGGGGTTGGGCTCGATAGCCTTATAAGCCCATGCCAACTTCATTATTCTGTGATTCTAGTCTTACATGCTGCCCCCATGCAATTGGTTGCACACTGCATTTTGCAATCAGTGCGCAAGTAGGTGCACAAAGGAATACCTACTGGAGGAGCAAAATACTCGGGCAATTGCCCTTAAGCCAGCAAAATTCTGGACCGCACAGCTTTGAAAATTTCAGCATCTTTGGAGTGGCTATATATGCAATCACTTCTTTCACAGTTCTGTCCCTCATCAATGCACAAATATGCTACATGTCCAGTAAACAAACATTTTAACTATTATGAGACTTGTAAAACTTTTAAATCAATCAGTTTAATTTCATTTTGTCCTCCTGGTATATGATTATGAAGCTGGGCTCAGAATAGAAGGACCATCAACCAACAGATTATGGTCAACAGCAGTGACACTTATAAA